CCAGGGACCATAGGATTAAGGACTTGCCCGAAACGCTACGCGTACTAGTGGCTGTACAAGAATGTAACAACTCTTGTATATATCTCAAAAAAAAAAAAAAAATATATATATAAAACGCTGAACTGTAATGTCAATCCTGACTTTAAAAGCTTCTTAGAAGGTTGTAACAGATCCCATGAGCACCACACCAGAAACAAATTCCTATATGATATTCCAAGAGTACGACTTAGTCAAACTAGAAATGCTCTACAAATCAAGGGACCCAGAATGTGGAATGACCTTCCCAACCATGTTAAAGACTGTACCTCTCCCAACCAGTTTAAGATGAAAACTAAGTACGACCTAATTAACTCCATGTAACCTACCTCACCCCCAAAATGTCAACCCATGTCTACTATTTTAAACAATGCTGTTTGTTGACCAAATTGTATTTTTTTTTTTTTCTGCCATGTTCCCCCCCCCCCTTTTTTCATTTTTGTTCTTATTTTTTCTCAACTCAATTTCTACTTTAATCTCAATTAGTATTAAGTTTTAGTCCTAGTGTTTTTCCTGCCCGAAACGCTGTGTATAATAGTGGCTTTAGGCATTGTATGTACTAGCTCTATCTATAAATCCATCAACTTTCGTATCTTACCTTGTATGTATGTACTTTACCTGAATAAATATTTGTATTTGTATTAAGTCTTACTCTTGGAATATCAAATAGGTATTTGTTTCTGGTGTTTCTGTCTCTTTAACATGCCAAACTACTCAGCAATTTACAACTGTCGACCAATTCAGAGAGGTGGTGGTACTGCTCTTTACTACCACCAAGAACTAACATGCTTAAAAGTAATTAGAACTAGAGACTCCTGTGGAGAGTATATCTTCGCCAGTTTCAGAGTCAAGGGTGTTGAGTCTGTCCTGACTTTGGGAGCAGTCTATAGAATTCCTAACAGTGATGTGTCCGAATTTAACTCTAACTTTAGAAATCTAATACTAGATAACAGACTGAACAAAACCCATCTAATTATCGCAGGGGACTTTAATATTGACCTTTGCGAGCCTGAACACCCTCCTGCTGCTTGTTTCCTCAACTGTATGAATTTCTACTACCTCATACCTTTAATCACTAGACCTACTAGAATCACTGATAATACTGCCACGGCTCTTGACCACATCTGGACCAACATAACCTCTCCCTTACTTCAGGGATAATCATTGATAGGACCACAAACCATTACCCATCATTTCTCCTAACCAACATTAGTAAACCACCTCTAGATACAAGGAAGATAAGCTTTAGGCTGGACAATGAAACTTCTATAAGCAACTTTATTACTGCTGCTGCTAATAACAACTGGGAGGCTGAATTAGGTAACATAGTGAACATCAACCCAGCAGTGCAAACATTTCTTCAGAAAACTCTGAACCTTTATAACTCCCACTGTCTAATGTTAACGAAACAAGTTACATTAAATATAAGGTTAAACACTCCATGGCTTACAAAGGGTATACTTAAATCTATTAATAAAAAACATGACCTTGAAAAGAAGTATAGATTAGGAGTCGTCTCCAAAGAATTTTCAAAGATTTACTCATCCATGCTGTCTAAATAAATTAGAAGAGCCAAAATGAAATACTACGAAAATAAATTTACCCAAATTAAGGGCAACATTAAGAAAACATGGAGCACTATCTCCCAAATATTAGGTTCAAACAAGATTTTGAATAAAAAAACAATTCTCCTATCCAATGACGATGGTGTGCTTTCAGCCTCAGACACTGCTATTGAAGTCAATAGGTTCTTTTCAACCATTGGGACATCCCTTGCTCATGATATTCCATCCTCACCCACTAATATTAAAGACTACCTTACAGGTAACTATCCAGAGTTTCCATACCTAGCTCCCGCTAAATTCTCTGATGTCAATGCGGTAATCCTTCCCCTTAAAACTAAGTCAAGTGCCCTTGATGAGGTACCATCTCTAATTTACAAAAAAAACTCCAGATTTCTAGCTCCTGCCATTGTATTTTTCTTCAACAAATCACTTGAACTCCAAACCTTTCCGGAAATTCTAAAAAAACTGCGAGAGTAACCCCAGTCCACAAATGTGGTGATCTCACTGATGTCAACAATTACAGACCTATCTCAATTCTGCCAACCTTGTTAAAAGTATTTGAAAAGCTAATCAACAAGCAGCTTTACTTATATGTAGCCAAACTCAATATACTAAGCTCTTGCCAATATGGTTTCAGACCCAATAAAAGCACTAACGATGCACTTATAAGTATGATTAACTTGATAAATACAGCTCTTGATAAAAATGAATTCCCTGTTGGGTTATTTGTGGACCTACGTAAGGCTTTTGACACTGTCAACCACCAAAACCTTCTTCTTAAATTACATCATTATGGAGTCAGAGGTCACTCCCTGCAATACCTTCAATCCTACCTTACTGACAGGCTTCAGTATGTTTCTGTGAATAATTTCAATTCTCCGACACTACCGATAAACATTGGTGTTCCACAGGGCAGCATACTTGGCCCTCTCCTCTTTCTCATCTGCATAATGACCTTCCAAATGCCTCTCAACACCTCAAACTAATCTTATTTGCTGATGACACAACTTTCATTTTTTCCAGTCCTGACCCTCTGCTCTAAATGTCACTGTGAATACTGAACTAAATAAAGTCCATCTTTGGCTAACTGCTAACAACCTCACCCTTAACTAACTAAACTAACTTAACATTGGCAAAACTTTCTATATTTTGTTTGGTAATAAATCCTTATATACAATTAATTTAAGAATAAACAATATACAAATCAGTAGTAAAGTTGATGGTAAATTCCTTGGTGTCCTCATCGATAACAAACTGAATTTCCAGGGACACATTCTAAATATAGCAAAAAAAGTTTCTAAAACTAAAGGCATTCTTTCTAAGATCAGATATTGTGTACTTCGCCCTGCCCTGGTGACTCTCTATTACTCTCTCATCTATCCTTATCTCAACTATGGTATTTGTGCTTGGGGTTCTACTACCCAAAATCATTTACGTCCTCTAATTACTCAACACAAAGCCTCTATTAGAACAATATCTAACTTTGGCCCCAGACATCACTCGGTACCCTTACTCAAATCTCTGAATATGTTAGATATTAAGTCACTGCACATCCTCTCATGTGTACTCTATATATTTAAAACTCTGAACTGTAATATCAATCCTGACCTTGAAAGCTTCTTAGAAGGTTGTAACAGAACCCATGAGCACCACACCAGAAACAAATACCTATATGATATTCCAAGAGTACGACTTAATCAAACTAGAAATGCTCTACAAATTAAGGGACCCAGAATGTGGAATGACCTTCCCAATCATGGCAAAGGCTGTACCTCTCTCAACCAGTTTAAGATGAAAACTAAGTACTATCTAATTAACTCCATGTAACCTACCTTACCCCTAAATGTCAACCCATGTCTTACTATCTTTAAACAATGTTGTTTGCTGACCAACTTGCATATTGGCTATTTTCTACCATGTTCCCCTACTTTTTTATCCTTTATTTTTTTCAACGCAATTTATACTTTAAGCTCAATTACTATTAAGTTTTATTCTAAGTGTTTTTCCCCACCTCGCCTTGCCCGAAACGCTATGCGTACTAGTGGCTTTAGGTATTGTATGTACTACCTCTATCTATAAATCAATCAGAATGTTTGTAAATGCATCTATGTATGTATTTTTCCTAAATGAAATGATAATAATATTATTATTATTATAAATAAATAATAGGACCGACCCTAGCTAGCCTACGTCCGTCATGTGCCCCAGACCCTTTCCTCTGCAAAGTTGGATGAGACTAGCCCTAAGCGTCTGGCCTCCAACCTTGGACCGACAGACAGACATTCTCTCTGATAGATTTAGATGTAGCGTATGGGCTTGCGGCTACTTATCAACCCCTCATCTGTATATTGGAGCCGGGGGTTTAAGACAAGCTTAACAGCGTACAAACAACAATGGAGCAGGTATATATACTTCAGTCCTGAAGATAGTCCAGGACTAGATTAAGGACTAGATTAAGTCTAGATTCTGCTAGATTAAGGACCTGCCCGAAACGCTGTGCGTACTAGTGGCTTTACAAGAATGTAAATACTGTACTATCCAATGTATTCTCACAAACCCAATGTACCTTCTTGTATATATATAAATAAATAAATAAATAAATAAATAAATAAACTAAAGTAAACTCAGTATATCTACACCGAGAAGATGGGTGCACCTCTCGGAGTATATATTCCTGTCCATAGGCTATATATAGACCACACTCCGGTAAATTTCGACAAACCTTTTCTATTTTGTTAATCATTTATTGTTATTTGCACATATAGGACTGAACGACATGCCACAATTATATATCGCCCAAACACATTTATTTTGTTCCCAAACGTGTATAGGAGTGTGGGCAGGGAGGCCCATGGAGGCCTACCTGGCCACATCTCCTTTACTTGGCATTTTCATCACAGGTCTAGGCCCTGTCTGTCTGAAAATTAATGGTGTGAGCGACGCTTCCCGGGACATTTTTCCCCGTGAAACTCATAAAATAGCCGAGTAGAACTAGAATACAATAGCACTAATGATACGACGAGACAACATCTTATTATTATAGAGAGACTTGTGTTAGTGAACTATAATGTAGAGGAGACCTGGATTATTGATCGGTTCCCGTTTTCTAAGATGCAGCGAGGGTGGGGCGCTCGTCGTTAAAGGGAGCCTCACCACACCGTCGTTCCCACAATGTATCGCTCACCTCGCATTACAATCTCCCTCCACACACTCACCACATGAATATTTCTCTATAATACAACACAGATTTAAAATACCCAAAACGATAGATCAGGCGCCATAAATCAAAACAAAATTTAGGGTATAATAAGGGATATAATGGGATAAAGATTTAGGGTGAGGAGCGAAGTGTTGAGGAGCGGTGGAAGTACTGCGGGAGAGAGGGTTGGGGTGGGCCAGGGCGGCCAGACAGCGGCGTCCGACCATAACAAACATGGCGCTGCTTCACAGGGAAAGTTGACCGCAAATATGACCCAGTTCGGTGGATTGAATACCCGCAGGCGCTTACGATCACCAGGAAGTCTAGCGCAGCCTGGCATTTTGAGTGCGGGCGCGCGTGTTTGAGATGAGCAGCGGCGGCGGCGCTGTGTGAGTAAGGAAGGTGTGTGACGCGAACTCTTAGTGGTGGCTGCTGCTGCAGGGACTGGTTGGTGCACCCGTGACCTCTTGGGGCCCTCTAGCGGGCCCTCACCCCTCTGCTGGCCCTTACTTGCGGGCCCTCACAACTCTTCTGGCCCCCGCCACCTCTAACACTGTACATAATGTGTCAGGGTAAGTGCAGTATTGACGAGGTTGACGGTGTCGAGGCGTCACCATAAAAGGTCAAAGGGTTGTATGGGGGGAGACTGTGTGTGTGTGTGTGTGTCTAGGCTCATTGTATTCAGCCGTGTGCGCCTCGACAACTCACTATATACTACAGCAAATATGGTGACCAGGTGATACAAAGTTTGTGGAGCAGCGAGACAGTATTGATCTGTATGTATTGTTCTTGTAGTCCAGGAGGAAATAGTGTTAGTGGTCAATATCTTCTTTAATGTGCTCTTTTGCTCCTTAATTTTCGAATGTAATCCATTTCAGACTCTAGTTTTAAGGTTTCTCTTGAGCTCTTGTGTATAAAATAGAATTAAAGATTAATGGTGCCTTGTAAAAAGCAGTTGTTATTGATCTAGGGCCGTGATGGCACTGCCCCGGCGCTCCCTTGATGGGTAAAATGCAAAGCCTTATGGCCATGTTCATGTCTCCCGTCGATGGAAAAAAATGTGCTTTGCGGTGAATACAGATACTGGTAGGCAGGTGTTAGGGGAGTGGCTGAGGCAGGCAAGCCCTGGCTCCCACCCCACACAAAGAACATTGGGTTTATGACAATACAGAGAATTGAAGTTTTACATTCTTGTCAAGCCACTAGCACGCGTAGCGTTTCGGGCAGATCCTTAATCTGACGTATAATTTTAAGAAGGTAATTTCAAGCAAAATTAACAAAATGTTTACAGGTACATTGTAAGGACGTATAAAGATTTATTGTAAGAAAACAAAAAAAAATACATTGTATAAGAAATTTGACAGAAAACAAAGTAGGTACATTAAAGTAAATTTAAAGGTTATCTGCAGGTACATTTTAGCATAATTTGAGGATTATTACTAGATATAATGTAGCAAACTATGTGTATAACATGATATAAGATAACAACAGTGATTACAGTGGGAAAGTTGTATGGCATAGGTACATATTTTGGGGAATTGAGTAGCACTAGATACAGTGCGAGTTTCAAGCACTAGGTAGGAAACTATGAAGATGAAATTATAATTGAAATCTGCCCACAAAACCCCGACAGCCCATCAGGAGCACATCAGGAGGCCACCAAAACCCTTCAAACAACCCACCACCCCTCAATCAAGCTCATGCCAAACTTTGTCACCCCCATCTGAAGATCTCGCCAGAAAATTTAAAAAAAAGTCCCAACTGCCCTGTGACTCCAGGCAATATGTGTGCCCCAGGCATCATAATGAGTCAGACTGTTGAATAGCAATGCCTGACAATAGTATCAAGACCCAGTGTGTGAAAGCCTGTCACCTGTTCTGGCGGCCCCTCGGTGGAGCAAGGTATCCAGATATCTGTTTGTTGTTAAGGTTGAACCAGGAATTTTCATGTGATAGTAAATTACAGTTGCTAGACATTTGAAGGACATACAGCCATGAGAGTAATGTACAGCACGCTCGGTTGGTCCTACTCAACCATGTCCTGAGAAAAATAACCAGAACATAAGATGGAAGTTTGGCTTTGGTCTGTGGCTAACTATGCCCATCCACTTGGGCAGGACAGTCCATGACTGACTTCTTACAAGGTCAATGTTTGATCTCTGGTGGTCCAAATATTTGGGCAACATTCCTTCTCTGTCCCCATATCCCAGCTCCTTGGCTTTGTCACATTGGTCCTGATAATTTAGGTGATTAATTGTCTTTCTCTGCATGCCGTGTGTTTTCTGTATTAACTCTATTTCAGCAGTCTCTTGTGCTCGAAAATATGTCGGCAATCTCTCCCACTTTAAAATATTTCACCAATCTTCCCTGCTTTGAAAGGGGAAGTGAATACTAAGCAGTACTCATAGTGGGACAGCACAAGTGATTTGAATAGTAGATCATTGTGGTGGAATCCTAGGATTTGAAGGTTTTCTTAATCCATTCTATCCTTTTCCTGACTGATACTATATTTGCTTGGTTATGCTCACTAAGCCACTCCAACCACTAATTTGGTTACCAAATACCTTTCTTGTGATCTGGACTTGCGATCTTACTTGAACCTTACTTGAACAGAACCCATGGGCACCACACCAGAAACAAATACCTATTTGATATTCCAAGACTACGACTTAATCAAACTAGAAATGCTCTACAAATCAAGGGACCCAGAATGTGGAATGACCTTCCCAATCATGTCAAAGGTTGTACCTCTCTCAACCAGTTTAAGATGAAAACTAAGCACTACCTAATTAACTCCATGTAACCTACCTCACCCCTAAATGTCAACCCATGTCTTACTATTTTTAAACAATGCTGTTTGTTGACCAACTTGTATATTGGCTATTTTCTACCATGTTCCCCACTTTTTTATCTTTTATTTTTTTTTTTCAGTGCAATTTATACTTTAAGCTCAATTACTATTAAGTTTTAATCTAAGTGTTTTTCCCCCACCTCACCTTGTCCGAAACGCTATGAGTACTAGTGACTTTAGGTATTGTATGTACTAGCTCTATCTATAAATCCAACATTATGTTTGTAAATCAACTATGTATGTACTTTCCTGAATAAATTTACTTATTTACTTCTACTGTAGTAATTTATATAGCACTTACAATAAATTATGTTATCAAACATTTATCTCCATGGCCTTAATTATTTCAACAAAATAGGAAATGAGAATCTTCATTAGCCTGGCTACGGATTGCTCACAAACAGTTACCTCTTGAATACTGTACTTTATATTGTACATCCATATGCATCATATGAACTGTACAGTAAAACCAATGAAAACAGATCTAAGGATACAGTATACGCTGCCTGGCATATTCCGACCTCACTCGTTACTAGCCAAACACCACTAGCTCCTCGCTTATTATTCTTCAGCTTTACAGTGTCCTTCCACTTGGACTAGTTGGTATAATGACAGCCTTGTATCTTGCAGGGTCGACACTTGATTTCCAATAGTCCAAATGGTTTGGTACCATTTCTTTCTCTCTTCCTTATATGCGACCTCATTGTCCTCATATCACTTTTCAATGCTATATGGTCATACTGTACTGGCTTAGTATTCTCGTCTGATAATTATCTTACTTTCACAAGGGCACTGCAACCAAACTACTGGCGCCTGACAGCTGGGTGGACAGCGCTTCGGATTCGTAGTCCTGAGGTTCTGGGTTCAATCCCTGGTGGAGGCGGAGACAAATGGGCAAAATATTTAATTCACCCTGATGTCCCTGTTACCTAGCACAGTAAATAGGTACCTGGGAGTTAATCAGCTTCTACGGGCTGTTTCCTGGGGGGTGTGTAACAAAAAGGAGGCCTGGTCAAGGACCGGGCCACGGGGATGCTAAGCCCCGAAATCATCTCAAGAAGATACTGCCTGTAAAATGCTAACACAGTGACAAATTTTGTTTGTCCTTGGATAGTAAATATTATTTTCTCATTGTTTATACGTACCTTCAAAGTATAGAAAATGGCTATTATGCCCTTCAAAGTTTGTTTTGGTCTTTGCCTTAGACAGCTTAGGTAAGATGTCTTGAAGGTTACTTGAAGGGTACTGACTCCTTACCTAGAGTTATGAGAAATTGTTCAAGGCAAAGGCCAAAGCAAAGTTTGTGTGGAATAATAACCATTTTCTATACTTTGGAGGCATAAGTAACTAGAAAATAACATTACAAAGGAACAAAAGTTGTGTTATACAGGTACAATATACGTAGTGTAATTTTAGCATGCAGTATTTGTTGCATGATTTTTTTTTCTACCAAGTAAAATTTTTTTGTTTTCTGCACCTGGAGGTAGAACAAAAAAACTTAGGGCAGTGTGAATGTTAAGTGCATTAGAATTTATTAAAAAAATGTTGTGATTGTTTTTTGTGCATTAATATTTTTCTCAATACTCATCACCATTAAGAGTGCTATAAAAATACTGTTTATCTGTTATTTCTATTTTGTTTGTTATAATACATATATCAATTATAAGGGGAACCTCATAAGAAAATTGTTGTCACAGCACATACAGCAGTAGCAGGCTCAAAGGGAAGATCTATGCCACTCCCAGACCACATGAGACAGAAAACTAGATAGTTCTTTAAGAAGTGCTGGACCAACTGGGCTGTGGTGGCTATGTGGGCCTGCGGGCCGCTCTAAGCAACAGCCTGTTAGACCAGCTCTCACAAGTCAAGCCTGGCCCCGGGCTGGGCTTGGGGAGTAGAAGTACTCCCAGAACCCCATCCCGGTGCAATTACAGGATTTCCAAGACCAGTCAGGACGCCAGGCATGAAAGATTCACCAGCACCTACTCCCGACCAAGGATCACGAGGTGAGGGGAAGGTGTAGGCAGCTCACTTATCAAAAGCTGGAAAGTGAAACTGAACTGCAAACTCCCAAAACAACAAATCTCCAGTGGACTCAGCTAATGGCCCTGCATTACAATACTATCATATACTATAGTCATATACTATCCAAGGAGAGGTCCCTTGAGAGGAGGCAGACACCTAAAACCTTCCTGGGGAAGGAAATCCTGACCGGGCAGGGACAATGCCAGCGACATCTAGAGCAATAGCTCTGGCCACATGCAGTCAAGACAAACAAAGATTTAAAGCTTTCACAAAAGTGGGGCTAGAAATCACAAATAAAGCAAAATTAAGTTGATAAAACACAGTCACATGCACCTGCAGGACAATCCCAAAGGATAGCCAAGGACACTAAGCTGAAATTGGTGCCATGAAGCACATGCCTCCCACTCTCTCTTTTATTCGTTAGTCTTGGCTGTGTCTTTTTCTTTGACTTTTGGCATTGATGTTTCATCTTTACCATTTTGGAGGTGTCTTTATTTACCTCTGGCCTGCTACTTCTTAAATTCCTCCCAGGTCTCTGGTTCATATCCCTGCTTTTCTTTCATATTCACATTTCTTTGTGTCCCCTTTGGTTTTGGATCTTTTCTTTATGGTGGTGTTTCTGTTGGCTCTTACTTCTGACTGTAAGGTTGCGGGGAGCTTTCTGCTGCAGAAGAATTGGGTTTTGTTCTTATGGACC